TTGTTCTATCTTAAATGAAATATCTAAGCAAGGTTTGGCGTTCCTGATTGCTAGATGTCGATTCAGCCGAGAACGCTAGAGCGTTGCTAGAGCGTTGCTAGAGCACAGGCGGCGGCGATGGTGTAACGGTTAGCGTACTGGACTGTTGTACCCAAGTTGGCGGGTTCAAACCCGATCGAAGCCGTGGATTTTTAAGGGCGAAAAAATCCTTCGTTCCTTCGGAGGGGAAGTAAAGCCGGCTGTCCCATGTTCGTAGATTTACTTGCATGTAAAAGATCCTCAAGCCTAAATGACGCCTCTGAGCTAAATTCAAGTCGCCTGTTTCTCGCCCAAGAAATACCTCCTTTCTCCGGTAGTTGGTGAAAGGAGCGTAGCGAAATTTGCGTGGTCAGACGGAAGAGCAGGCCTAATGGCCTGAGTCTCGCCACGTAAAATAAGGCATAATTCAATTCAATTCAATTGTACGCTCCTGCCCCGAGCGTATTCATGACTTGCGTCGGTGTGAATCTTCATCTAAAGCCGTACTTAGCTTCTAAATTCCGGCACTTAAATCGTCGTCCAAGAGGATGGATCCTAGGATGGTAGGTTTACCAACCTGGAGCTGGGTGGAATTCAATCTCTGTCTGGAGGAGAATTCTAGTGACCGGATGATTTGATAGGTAGTTTTCCGTGATTTCTCCGGTGAATACCAAAGAAACGTTGGAGTAACACCGTACTAAATGGGCCACAGGGTGCGCGCAATCTTTCTTTTGTTACCCATGTCCCCTCTTTTCACCACTCGCACTACACTAGTACATATTTCCGGAGACCGGTCGGGAGCGTAGATCTCGTCCCGGCTGGGACAGGTCCCCCTCATGGAGATACTTGGTAGAGGACAAATCACGCAACGGGACGTGTAGGATGGTGCCAGATTTCACGTTCCAGCGGGGGAGAAACGCCGTTACCTACCGGAATGTAAATGGCATATCCACTACACATAAGGGAATAAAGATCATGGTGGTTCCAGGCCCTGAAACACCACTCATTCACTCCTCTCTTTGCTCTTTCTCTTACCCTTCCCGCGTATTTTCACTTCATTTTCTTCACCTTCTCCAACTCTTCGTATCGTCTTCTCCCTCTATGAACTGTAACATGTGTATTTGATCTTCCACCGATATGGCAACTCAATTCTCATGTTCGAAATATACAGAGTTGTGTAGAGTATTCTACGGAATAGTGTCAATATGCGCAAATACATTCTCAAGCGCCCATTACGCTTCAAAAGCCGTTAGGGCAGTGCGTAATTCGAAAATGGTACACTGTACGCCGCGTGCATAATTCGAAACGGATAATCTCCTGAAGCAAGATTTTTTAGCCTCGATGTATTTCTTGTTTTAGAATCTACAAACGGAGACTTTTTTGGTACTTTTTCACGATTTATTACATTGTCATCTTCTGGGAACCCTCACATCATGAAATGTGTGGCAGAATTTCTGCAGAATTTCGAAATTATGTAAAATTAAATAGAATAAAATACTTTTTCTCTGTTCATTCTAATACCTATCCATCGTTCTGTGTTATTTTGACCTTTATCTTTGTTAATACAAATATTAGAATTCTTACCAACATAGGCTGCCGAGTTACAATATGAAACAATTTTCAATTTTAAAACCAAAGTGATTTCCAAAGTGCGAAACGATTGCACAGAGCCTATCAATTAGTAACTTACTCCACAAGGTCAAGAAGGGATAATTCTTATTACACCTTTATTTCTGTAGTTACTATTTTTTTGGCCAGTATTATACCATCCCATAAATAATTTATTATTTAGTTTTCCGCGCGCGTCTCTGCTAAGATTATTAATTCCGTAAGTAAGTAGTGCATGGCTTTATCGCTGGGGAAGGCGGTGATCTTCCCTTGCTAGATAGCCTATCCGTCGGTTAGCGAGACTTTTCCCAAGAAGGTATCTCCCACCAGCAGGCTATCGCCCCAGTCGGGACTAACCCCAAGCTCCCGACTGGTTTCTCGATATGTGTGGTAGTGTAGTGCATATAAGTGTGTGTAAGTAATGGGCGAGGATAGAACGAGAAAGAGGAAGGAAAGATAGCGCATGGCTCGTGACGTTTTTGTTCAGGTACTGCTCCGGCATTGTATTGATCAGAGAAGCCACAGAAAACAACCGATGAGAGCAGCCGGATGCTAGACTATTTTTCTCCGGACAGAGGCTGAGATATCTAGCTACTGTTGGAAATCGTACTGACGTCGAGACTCGAACGCTAGGACCTCCCGGGCAGAAAAACTGGCTGTTGAAAGTTAGGTTCGAGTCAGAAACTATGTTCACTTTATTAACACTGGTTTATAAAGTACGAAATGTTTGCACAGATCCTACCGATTTACAACTTAGCCAACTAGGTCATAAGGATTATTATATCTTTATTGTTATTGTTATTAACTCTCTTTGGCAGTTTTTAATGCCACTTTCTCGTGAATAAAAGCTAGTTTTTTTAATTTTTTTTATTTTTTCATCTTCTTAGCAAGTCATCATCGTCCATCCGATTATTTTTTTACGATACTATTTTTTACGATTTAATTTGGAATAAGCGAGCGAGCGCGCGTGTTTTGCTTGTTGCAGCTTCGCGCACGCGCGTGTCGTTCACGTGCACCGAGCCCGAGCACCGGCTGCCCAAGTGGACGCCGCGCTTCGAGGCCCTGCAGCCCGGGGGCGCGCCGCTGGAGCACGTCGACCACATCGTGCTCGACTCCAACCCGCCCGCCTGCCCGCGCGGCACCGTCCACGTGCTGCTCAACACGCACACCGGCGAGCGGCCCAAGGTAGGCCCAGCTCACGCACGTAGCGTGCAATTTCGAAACACTTCTCTAGTCCCGAAAGAGTAGTAAGTGTTTCTGTACAAACACAATAATGATTGATTATTTCGTGCTGTCTGGCGTGTCAAATGATAAGAGCACGAATCCCGTAAGTGTAGTGAATGTTTTATGATGTGGGAGTTGGCTGTGATCTTCCCCCGCCGGATGGTGAGATCCGGCGCCGACTTCCATGTCGCGGGGTTTTCCTCTTCCAAGTATCTCCCACCAGCGGAGCACCGCCCCAGCCGGAACAAGCACTAGTCTTCCGATTAGCCTCCCGATATATGTCATATGTGTGTGTGTGTGTGTGAGAGAGAGAGAGAGAGAGAGAGAGAGAGAGAGAGACAAGGGTGAGGATAGAACAAGGAAGGGGAAGAAAATATCGCACTCGGTCTGTCACCCGTTTGTTAGGGTTCTGCTCCGGCCGCCTGGTCGGAGAAATCAGAGGAACTCAGAGAAATCAGAGGCCATAAGAGTAGCCGGCCGCTAGAAGTCTCCTCCAGGCATCGACTGAACCCGTCCTAGGTATGTAACTAATGTCAATTCTGCCACTGTCGAGACTCGAACCCTGGCGCCTTCCGGTCAGAGGCACTGCAAGCGAAATCAGTCGATGCTCTGGGTCACCTAAGCCGACAGATAGACAATAACGATCACGGTTTGTAGTCAATCACGTCTGTTATTTGTTTTTCTCTCGTGTGTTTTTCTATTATTTCCTAATGGAAACATACCAGTTGTAGCTACGGTTGTCACACCAGTATTCTTATTCTAAGTAAAGGTGTTTTTAGAGGAAACATTGTTTAGCGTATAAGACGGTGATATTAAGAAGCATTGAGCATCTGCAATGAACTCCTCCAGCAGATGCTCGTCGGGGATGTGCTTTTGTGTACATACAGAGGCGCAACCACGGGTAAAAAGATTATAGTAGGTGTAGTGTCGTGACAACTCGCAATGTTTTCTGCAACAATTTTGCACTGACGCTGAATTTTGTAAGTTTCTAGTTTATATAGTTTGCAAGTGAAATATGTCATTTTTTTAAATACTGAAAATTAATAGAAATTACAGTTAGTAAATTTTATTAATTTAATATACAATGTCACTGACGGGATGGGAATTATGAGCTTTCAGCCTCGGGAAGAGGGCACGAAGCCCCATGCCCCCATTGCCCCTCCGAAGTTAAGCTCTGAATGCATAATAACTAAGGAGCGGACTTTAAAAAAATGTCATTTTTTTATTTCCATGTTAGAACAATGTCGTTTAGTATAGAAACTAATTTTATGTTAAAACAAAAGAAAATGAGCCATTTTTATACATCATTTATTTGTATCTTCGTCGATTTCGACTAATGAGTCATTTTTTTTAAAACTTTTCCATATATTTGAATGCATTTTTTTCTGATTTCATCGATATCATATCATTTTAATGGAACTTGCTTCAAATAATATTTACCAGAAGAAACAAATTTTCTCCACAGAAATCCCGAGTAGCCTATTCGATTTCTTCGCTCAGAATTTCGCTCATTTTATTGTCAGCCGATGTATGTGACGCCTATCAGCGCTATTGTCGGTTCATCCGATTTCGAGATAACTAAAGACAGGGATTTTCTGGAAAAGAGCAGTTTAAACCGAAAGTTCGAAAGAAGTTCACTTGGACGAATAGAAGAAGCCTCGATTACATCAGTAACGTATCCAACAGCTTGAGTTGTTCATCCAAACTAATTTTATCACATTTTTTGCGTAATTTTTCTTTTGCTTTTAGGGCATTTTAAAATCATTTACGAGCATTTTATTGATCAGTTTCGCGATGTTTTAGGCCATCAAAATCCACCCCCTTACAATAACGTATTTTTCTTACACAAGAAACGTGTTGAAGCAGACAAGATACGCCCTGACGCCCACGTCAATTTTAAAAAAATATTTTACAGCGCAGCTTTTGGATGAAGTAGTTGGCATGGCTAGAAGCGCGAAATAATCAATTATTATTGTGTTTGTACAACAGCACTCACCACACTGATGGGACTGGTGACCATAGCGGTTGACATGCCTGGAAGTGCGAAATAGTTAATCAATCATTACTGTGTTTGTAGAAAAACATATATTACGAATTGGGAATTTAGGAATAGTGACCTTAGCAGTTGACACGCCCAAAAGCACGAAGTAATGAATGAATCATTACTGTGTCGAACCGCCCTGCCGCAGACGGTGCGCGTGCTGGCCAACGGCAGCGCGCTGTTCGAGGGCTACGGGCGCGGGGCGGCGTACGCGCCCGACCGCTGGTGCGGCGACTGGGCCGAGCTGCGCGGCGGCGCGCGCGTGGAGAACGCGCTCTTCTGCCAGCCGACGGCGTCCGCCGACGCCGACGCGCCGGCCGCGCGCTCGCTGCTGTACGGCGCGCTGTTCGCCGTGAGCGCCGTCTTCCTGCTGCTGACGCTCGTCGTGTACCTGCTGCTGCCCGAGCTGCGGCGCTCCGCCAGCGCCAAGGCGCTGCTCTGCCACGTGGCCGCGCTCATGGTCGGGTCGCTGGCGCTCGCCTCGGGCCAGCTGCGCGCCGTCGTCGCCGACGACGAGTGCTACCTCATGGGTGAGCGCGCGCGCACGCATGCACACGAACGCACCTCATGGAGGGGCACATGAACGCACGCATAAACACACACCTCGTGGGAGAACGCACGCATACACACATACACCCTCATGTATGAGCACATGCATGCACGCATGTGTACACATTAACACACACCTCATGAGTGTGCACAGGCACACATACACACCTCGTGTGTGAGCACATGCACGCACACACGTGCACACACAAACACACACCTCATGAGAGAGCGCACGCACTTATCCACCTTCATATGTGAGTACATGCATACGCACGTGCACACATAAACACACGCCTCTTGGCTGAGCGCACGCACGCACACGCACACACACACCTCATGGGTGAGTCCATGTACACACGCATGTGTACACATTAACACTCATCTCATGAGTGAGCTCACGCACACATTCACACATTAACACCTCATGGGTGAGCACATGCACGCACGCTTCTGAACGCATAAACACACACCTCATGCGAGAGCGCACGCACGCATACAAACATACACACCAGCATGTGTGAGCACATACACGCACACACGTGCACACATAAACACCCACCTCATAGTAGAGCGCACGCACGAATACACACATACACCCTTATGTGTGAGCACATGCACGCTCAAACACACACCTCTTAGGTGAGCGGAGGCATGTGTACACATAAACACACACACACACACACGAAACACCTCATGGGTGAGCACACGCGCTCACATTCACACAGTCACGCGCAACACACACCACACACAAACACTCATCTCATGGGTGAGCACTTCATCAATATGGCACGTGAATAAAGCAAAAATCTGTCATATGAGAAAATTAATCTCAGTCCTGCCAAACAAATTCTACAGAATTACTTTGCATAATGCGGAACCTTGTCAAAGACACACAAAATTCTGGTCCCTGAAGATTCTGCATTGAGTAAGTTGTACCGTAGTAGATTTTAAAGTGTCTTTAATAACATGGAGTACAACATAATCCTATATACAAATGACCATTGAACCATTACGAGCGTTTTTCTTTTTTTTAAAAAAAAAATCTTGTTTGAGCGTTTTTGAATAAGCAGTGAATATGAGCACATTTTCACAAAATAATTTTGAGTTTTCGCGATCTTTGTAAGAATTTCAAGAATTTGTTTTCACAAAAGCAAAAATGTATAAAATAAATATTAACGACGTAGAGTTGTTTAAAAAAATATTTGTGTTATTTTCGTGTTTCCGTTGAAAACGTTGAAAGAAAAAATCGGAACCGTTTATGAAAATATCTTTATTCGACTATTACCCCCATTTTACGAAACATTACGCAAAAACATTTTTTATAAATCTAAGGGAAATTAATTAAATAATTGTGAAGCATACATTTCATTTGAAGAAAAATATTTTATCTGCAATACTTAAATTGTAGGAAGACGCCAAAAAACTTTTGAAATTTTGCAGTTTTCGAAAATTTATAGAACTCAATGAAAATCAGGCACGTGCCATTTTTACGCGTGCTTTCCTTGATCAGAAAAAAGTATTCAAAAATTTCGAGCTAGTTTTGAGAAAAAAAGGAAAATAGGGAGGCTTCATGTAAAGTACCCCCCCAAAAAATCCATTTCAAATACAAGGGGGTCCGAGATCAGCCAGATCGATCGAGGAATATCAATTTCGTAGAAATCCTACTTACGGTTTAGCTGGTAACGTTTTTCACAGACGGACAGACCAACGTCTTGCCATAAACCAGTTTTTTTTTTGGTATCAAGAAACCAGAAATCGTGGATTCTGGCTACACAATGTGATTTAGGAAGAAATTCGCTCTGAATAGGAACAAGTATTAGTCACTTTTTTGATATCGGGGACGAACAATATGAACTTTTCTCCCAAAAAATCGTCGTTTTTCACTGCAACATTATGTAGCTTTCCTTTATTACATATATAGTATTCGATAAAGTAAACACTCTATTAAAGTGAGCTCATTAAATTTCTTTTCTAACAAATTTATGGGTACTATGGAACATACAGCTGATGTCAGTGTGAGTGCTCTGTGTACACAGTGCCGTATAAATGCATTCGTAATCCAGACGAACGCGTTAGGAGTGAGTCATTAAGTGGTTTCGTGCTAACATTTAAAGCAGTCACAGATTAAGTAATTAAATACGATACCAATTAGTTATTTAAAAATTGGGATATTGTTTTGATAATCAAAACAGCATTAATATATAATAATTAGTTATATAATAACATAAAGAAATAAGGAAGAAGAAACTACTACAATACCAGATGTTGCAACTTTGTTCCATAATAACAAATTAATACTAAACTAAGGGAAAGTAGTTTCAATGCAGTTTTCAATTTATAATAAGCAATTTTATGCTGAACTGAAAATGAACAATGTTTAATTGACTGATGTTAAAGTAAGAACATTTTTTATCTGAATTCAGTCATATCTCAGATGGAACGGCAATTTAAATAAATTGAACACAAAATTAAGTTCACTCTGCTACACGTACATAATTCTTTCAAATTCAATAAGCCTTCATACTGCTCGTTGTAGATATTTCGCGAATGTTCATTCCCACCTGACATAGGACAAAATATTCTAGGGAAACACATCCTGTAATTCCCAGACTGTAGATAAGAAAATAATTATACCATTAATAAACATATCCAAAGAAAACATTCGCGACTACCAATCTCAGTAGCAAAGATTACCCCCTATTAATTAACAGACTATTTCTTTTTTTTCTTTTGCAGGTTTTATAATCCAGTACATGATGTTAGCTACTTTCTTCTGGTTGAATGTTCTGTGTTTTGACATAGCAACCGCTGTCAAGTAAGTTATAATTTTTGTATTCCATACTATCGTGTTTTTTTAGAAAAACGATTAACAGTTTCAAGAATTTCGTCTCCTTGTTAAGAACTTTTCATTTATTTTAAGAGACGAGGTTGTATTTTTGTGAGATCATAATTATCAACTTTAAAAAATACCTTCTCCATAATGACAAATTAATTTTTCTTAGATTTTTCAAGTGTCACGGAAAAAATCTTTTCAGTATTCAAAGAATTCCGTAGAAAATAACACTCTATAACAAAATCTACTCAAGTACTTTGCCTCAGATGTTTAGACGGAATTGAGGAAGTTCTACTCGGAGCATCCAAGAAAATAATATTGCAATTTTCTCCATTGAAAAAATGCGTATTACTAAATCTGCCATGTAGTACTAAAGAATTGTCTTAATAAAGAAAAAATATATCATTAGGAGTTGGGGGTTAATATATCACGAGTTGTTTGTGGATATTTATTGTTAAGTTTCAAATAAAAAAAGGCAACACGAGATTTTGGATGCAGTTTGCAAGTCCATTTCATGTACGTATAAAAAGCACATAAAATCAACATACATAGTCAACTAATGTTAATTAACTAGCTCATTTGATATTTTCTTTATCGATACTATACTCAAGGATTGTGGAGTTCATCCTAACTAAGAAATTGTTTCTCCCGAAGACAATTTGAGAGTAATGAATGAGGCTTCACGCTAGAAGAGCGCTTCTTTAATATTCTGTTTTGTTGGTTTGTAATAACATTAGTCCTATGTTTGCAGAATAATGTATATGGTTAATTAAGAAGTTTGTGATAGTTACATTCTATTTTCATCAAATAAAATCTCTTATTCAAATGTAGGGTATAATGAGTTAGCTTCTTCCCCTCCCCGATCAGTAGAAGTATTCAAGAACACATCTAGAAACAGGAACTGTGATAGTAAAGTAGTAATTCCCCCAAACAGATACACAAAGTGTGGTTACTTGAGGCACAGACTTTGCAAGTGGGCGGGTGAGTGTAAGTGGGAGCGCTGGCCGCAGGTGGGGCGAGCAGCGGCTGGCCGCGCGGAGCCGCCACGTCTTCCTGTGGTACTCCCTGTACGCGTGGGGCGTGCCCGCCCTCATCACCGCCGTCACCGTCGCCCTGCAGTTCCTCGAGGACCTGCCTGACACCATCGTGCTGCCGGACATCGGCGTATCCACCTGCTGGTTCCACAGTGAGCAGCGCTGCGTTTTTGCGTGTGCGACTTTTCTTGCTTTCTCTTTCCTTCCTCCGGCTGCGTTCCATTGCCGGAACACGATGCGCTGGCCACAGATTGAAATTTTATGAATACGCTTATCTAAATTACGTCAATTCTTTTAGCAAAAGATATTTCGTAAGTGTAAAAGCGTGTGTCACGTAAAAGCGTGCGTCAAGATATTTCGTAAATGTAAAAGCGTACGTCAATTCTTTTAGCAAAAGATATTTCGTAAGTGTAAGTGTACAGCGAAGTGTTATTAAAACGTTATAAACGGGCTACAAATATTAACGTCGTTAGGTCGATATAGAGCAAATAAGGGACGCGGTTGCAGTACGTAAATCGTGACAACATGGTGTTATTGCCTTCATCAGACACATCGGATTATACAAACACGTTCTGAAATTTCTGGGTGCTAGAGGTTGATTTCCCTAAGATCACGAAATCATTGTACTCTCCTGGCGAGATCGTATAATATCTGTGATTTGAAAAAAAAAGAAAAGAGAAAAAAAGGAATATCTTGAAGCAGAGTTTGTACGAGGGGAACGGGACCAATTGGGGTGGTTATACGAGGGGCAACATGGATTTGAAAAATCCTTCTCTTGTGGAAGCCATATTATTACAATGTGTGCAATACATTAGATTGTGGAAGGAGAATAGCTGCAATTGGCATAAATTTTTTCAAAAACATTCGATCTTGTTTCGCACGATACGAAAATTGTATCTGTATATTTTTTTACTGCTGCAGGACACTAGATAAGCGTGGAAGCAAATAATGAATATACTTACAGGCATATAATTAGAAATGCAAGACGACTTTTGGTTTTAAATACTAGAATCACAATGGCCCTTTTCCAATCGTGAGGCACAATTATTTATGCTAGTAATAATCAAATAATCGGGTCAAGTGTGTAATTACTGGTTCCTCTCCAATTTTTAACAGTTCTCCGGCGATATCATCAAACCCTGATTTATTCAATCCTGTATTAGGAATTCTCTCTCTAATGAGTCATGATTGTTCTTTGAATTTTTCTCCTTCAGGTGTTCTGAAAATACTGAAAGAATTCGGTCCTAACCCGAAAACCGATTTCAAATATGCGCTAAAATGTTCGGCTGTTCCCTTGTGTGTTAGTACAAATTTTCCGTTTCGATTTTTATGAGGCGGAATAGATTCTTTGCCTTTTGTTTTATGTGTGTATGAACTTGTTCACTTGTTCAATAGAATTTTACCATTCTTGTGCAATACATTTTTGCTGTACTAATTTGTTACGAAGATATTTGAAGAGGGTCGTGAAGAGGGGACATTTTGTGTGTTCAGCATACGCTTTTCTGACCTTTCTTTTTAGTTTCCTGATATTAATCGTGTAATAGGCTGGTTACTATTCTCTTTGACAATCTTGGAACAATTCCCTGTCTATAAACACTATTCGTTTAATAAGTTCCATATTTCACCCACGTTCCTACCACGCTGTTCTCAGACTGTAGTTCCTGAAGCTGTAGTTAAGATTTCCTAGACTGTAGTTGCAGTTTCCTATTAAGAATGCCTGAAAACCTTTTGTGTTAGCACAACTGTACTGAAATACGTTTTTTGGTGTTTTTCGAACGCCTAGTTTCCTGCCACACTTCCCAGTAACACACCTTCGTGGCCACGCAACTGGCAAAAGAAATATTATTTTTCCATCTGTCCCTAATCTTTAGTAGGTGAATGCACACTAATCATTGTTATGTTAGTAAATTTTCCTTTGATTCTAATAGAGCATAATGTTTTGTTTTCTGGATTACATGAGTGACAAGATGAGTGACAAGATGTTTAACAATTTTGTGGATGAAAATTCTGTCCCAAATTCTGCCAATATTTCATGACCACTGAAACATACAGTGCAAACATACATGCGCCTGAGTCTAGCATTCCTTTTTCTGTCCATCTCATTTCCTGTAAAGATGCTATAGAGATTTTATATATAGCTAATTCTTCTTTGAAGACTGCCAATGCACCCGGCTTAAACAAGCTCCTCAAATTCTAGGTTTCCAAAATCCATCCCAGAAGTTCCCTTTTATAATATGCCGCCTTCCAAAAAAAAGTTTTTCTTCGAGTTTCTGAACGTTTTTTTTTTCTGGGGAAGGGTTGTTATCTCATCGTCCAACCCCCAACCAGGAGGACCGGAATTTGTATGGGGCTTACTCCTCTTATAGGAGAAATGAAGAATACATAGAAAATTGGAGAGTAGAGTAGTAAGAAAAGAAGAAACGTTATAGAACAGCGAAGGGAAGAAGATGAATGACACCCTAGCCCTCGCGACCAAGTAGCTTCGGGGTCGAAAATACAAGGGACCAAGAGGGGTACCAGTAGAAACAAGGGACCAGTAGAATAGATGAAAGAAGTGTGACACAAAGTAAGATTTAACAGTGTCGCACTACAAACAAGGACCACCTGGCTACAAGAGTCGCTGGTGGGGGGCGAGGAGCAGTATTGTATATAGGTATGGGGCGGAATGTGGGAGTGTCTGGGCATGGAAAGGGACCGGAAGGTCATTTCGAGACATCCCTTCGTCAGACTCCCCCTGAGGTCTGTACAGCTTGGGTGACCCTACCAGTAGTAATGTTAATCGATTCTTCAACCAATCAACACATCTACCCCTGTCGTATCCTCAGCTTCATGAGGGCACGCCCGCAAGGTCAGGTGCTACTTTAAAGCAGTGTCTTCAGGAGGAGGAGACGAAAGATTAGTCTGAAGTTAAACGCTATATGAGGATAATACTATTATGACGTAAATAAAACGTCGTGTCGCAAACGACCCGTCTTTTTTCCCGCGCTCCCTGCGCAGCGGCGGCGGCCGGGTGGGCGTACTTCTACGGGCCGCTGGCGGTGCTGCTGGGCGCGAACGCGCTGCTGGCGGCGGCGGCGGCGGCGCAGATGCTGCGCGGGCGGCGCACGCGCTCGCTGCTGCGCGCCGCGGGCGTCGCCTGCGCGCTCTTCGTGCTGTCGGGCGTCAGCTGGCTGTGCGAGGTCGCCTCCTTCGCCGACGGCTCCGACAGCCTCGTGTGGACCGTCATGGACGTCGTCAACATCCTGCGCGGCCTCTTCGTCTTCGTGCTGTTGTGCTGCAGGCCCAAGGTGAGCAACGCTGCACGGGGTCTCTCAAGGTCTAAAAAATTGCCTTTGCTTTATTGCCTCGGTTTTATACTATTTGTTTTATATATATTTACCACCGATTCGACAATATCTCCAAAATATCTAAATTTCTAAACAACTTGACGGCAATCCTACAATAGTCACTTCCTGACTATGTACTAAAGCCCATTTTAAAAGAAATGTTTTCATTTTTCTGTATGAGTAACATTTCTTGCTTATTACAATTTAAACTAAGTATGTTCATGTTTGACAATATTCGTTGCATTACCACCAATCATCGAATCATTTCATTCTGTGTGTCTGTTAATCTATATATGTATATAGGATGTCGTAGCTTCGAAAATAAGCTCTTAAGACAATTGTATGTGTATTTTGTCTAATAAACACCTTAGATATTCCGATTGGCTGATCCGCAATAAACACTCAAAAGTTGGTTCCAAATATATTTTCTAAGGAAAAAATTGCATTGCAGAAACATGTGAACCACTATAAACATGTAAATTGTTTATTATTTACAAAATAAATCAATATATTGAGTTCAGAAAGAAAAATTAACAAAAAAATAATAAATGCAGTCGAATTGTGTAAAATGGTGCAATTTTATTACTGTGTTCAAATCAAATATTACACACGATCTACTTGAGATAAAAACACTTATATCTACTTGAGAAAAATACCTCATTATCTTCTATTGCCGCTCGTGATATAATACCTTCCTCTTGTAGATAAAGTATCTCTTTATCGTCTTGTAAAATAACTTACAACTTTTCATCGCGTATACTCATTCCAACTATACTTATGGGAGTTTTAGACCCCTTTTCTCGGTGAACTTTCGCATTGCAGGTGGGGCGGCTGCTGCGAAGGCGACTGTGCGGCGGGACGACCGTGGGAGAAGTTGACGACTGCAGCAGCGGCGCCGGCACCAGCGTCTACAGCGCGCTGCAGATGGAGACCGTTCCCAGTGCGTGCGAAGCGCCCCAACACCCCACCCCAAACGGCACCGGTCCTCGGCACACCTAAGGACATTCGGAACATGCCGAAGGGGTAGGGGGAAGGGTTAATGGACGAGTGCGGTAGCGAGCTCTTTTTGGCGGGTCGCACGTTCATGTCCCACTCAGGGATAGTTGTTTACTTGTGCTTTTAAGACTATCTTAAAAGTGACGAGTCCCGAAATTATTTCACAGAGAGGCAAATTGCATAAAGTTCCTTTATTTTATGAGTCCCATTATGATTTGCCACAGTTTTGGGGATTGGTTGACCCCGTCATCATTGTTGCCGTGTGTGGTGGCATGGTGAGTTTTCCCATCGATTATTTTTCCAACAACGCCCCTTCCTTCTTGGTCGATCCGGGTGGCGACGGAACATCCCTGTTAAGCACTGTAATGCGTTACACTCGGATAATGCCATTTCTGATTCCTCTTGTCATACGATGGCACAGACCCAACCACCAAGCACCGCCTTAATTACCTGGATCCTTCCCCTCCGGACACATCCCCTTCTAGATTTCGGCTAGCGAAGCTGAGATGGCCGCAAGAGGAACCGCATTAGCTCTCCTCGATCACTAACAGAAAATATTGAGATGAGCCTAGGGGCTACTTCAGAAAGCCAATTAGGGGGCTGGTCGTAGGCCGTCTCTAATTATAATGCGAAGGCCAACGCTCGAGATTAGAGGCGGGCCACTGACACGTGAACCAAGAGGCTTACTAGGTGTCGTACTTAGGCGCCTGATACGTTGAAGTATCCTGATTCAAGGTTATATGTTACTTACATTCAATTCGATACAAAATGGTGAAAGGGTATTCTTATACAGATGGTGATTCGGCCAGGGTCGAATTCGCCTTCAGACTCTAGAATCAAGTTGTGGTTGGAGACGAATCATGTTCAATGAGCGACAGATTGGCGAGTGAAATACGTGATTGAAGTTATTGATTGGTCTAACAACAAATAGAATATAGACATAAAGGCATGTTTAAAGTAATCTTACACAATTAGAACGCCAGTGTTTCAATTAAGGCATCATCATATGAGCGCTTCCCGGTTTGCAAATTTTCTCTTTCAGAGCCCTGGATAAGACATGCTAACTCTTGAATTTTGCATCCTTCTTGCGTAACGGAAATATCGCAGTTGGGCCATTATTGGGATTCTGGCAACAATATTTCTAGTTTCCCTTTGGTACCTGATTTTGTTTTCAGACGTTCAGTGAAGTATAAAAAACTGCGAATTCAAAACTTAAATGTATTAATTTATCCTTAGAATAATAATTTTTTACTTGTTTGCTGTGCAAGTTTCTATTTGCATATCCTTCTCCTGGGTTCTTGCTTCTTCGACACACGCACAATATTTTAATGCAGTCTTAACTCTCTAGATAGAGTCTTGTTCTGTTGGAACACTCTTTACCTGTATCCTCTGTCATCATTCTCGTTTTCTTCTGTTCTAAAAGAGGCTTTCACAGCATTTACAATGTCCCAGCCAGATGAGGTTTGTGTATTTTGCATCTCTGGGTGGCGTTGTTTAAGTCTACGCCCGACAGAATTGCTGTAGATGAGCCTAAAAAAAAATCAGTTGTACGATCCCCATCATTCGCCATCAATGCCACAAAAATAAGTCATGATCCCTCTCTCCCCCTCCATTCAAATTTCCCTTTGCCATTTACTTGCGACTTATAGAGCTTAGATAAGCAAACTATTAATACTAAATTACAACCAATCAAAATACAATTGTGAGTGGTTTTTAGACCTTACTTGAGTTATTTTGTGCTTTGTGAGTTCTATACAAAAACTGCAACTACTGCAAGTACTGCAATACTGCATACTGCTAGTACAAAGTCTAAATGATGAGGTGAGGACAAGTAGTGAGAGAAAGTGAAAAAGTGTGGACCAATGAGAATAGAAGCCGGAATAGAACACCATATAAACTTCTTAAAGGGTAATTACAAACACTGAATAATAAGAGGACTCAAACACCCCAATGTACATTTTCTACGTGCCATTAACATGATTTTTTACAGATTTAAAAACTTAGAATTTAAATATTGTGGTCAAAATACTTTCAAAGGAACACTTAAAAATGGTAAACTTGAATGTATTTTTCTTCATTCAACAAAAACATTGATGATGAAAATATCTGTAGAAAGTTCACTTGAACTTAGAAAATAAACAAATGACAAATATTTTTTCTGCTGATTTTTCCCATACTTCCTGCACTTATAATTGTGATTAAAATGTAACCACACAATGAGAGAAGGTAAAATACTTGCATCGTCCTGTACATGTACTAACCACTAGGGGCTAACTTTTATAGTGACTTCGGTAATAAGTACTTATCGATTTTTTCTACGATCATGTTAGATATTATTTTATACCCTTTCGTTTTAGACTTTTGTAATATATTCATTGATTGGATTTGGAATGGATTGAATAATTTCTTTCCTTTACGTTTACGTTTAGATAGAAATTGAATCTTCCGTGAAATTGCAATCTAACACCTTATTTATTTGGGCTATTTCCGGAGTTTTGGGAATGCGCGTATACACCGATATTGTTGCAAGTCTCATGTTCGTTGAAATTCCTGATTCTTCGAAAAGTGCAATTTTTTTAGGTGCGTCTTGCTACAACTACAATATTGAAGATAGAGATTTTTTTCCTTAATGAAATCAGATCTTTAACGACAGCTCTTTAAACAATGTCACGTTAAATTTTTCGAAAATATGAGTAGTTTTCGTGTCATTTTGCGTGAAATATTATCAATTTTTAATTATTTTCGAACATTTTTTACTCAAAACGACACCAACTTTTTTTATTAAAATTTGACCTCGTTATAGCAAGAAGAACTCTTATGAGAATGGCGCGGGTTTCATTTTCGTTGAAAACCCAAACTTTTCGAACATTGCAAAAATTCAAAACTTTCAGGCGTCTTTAACAACTACAATTATGATGATAAATTTGTTTTCTTAGTGAAATGTGTTCATCAAAACATCTTCAAATAAGATCGTGTTCAATGTTTCGAAAATATGAGTATTATTTGCGTAATTTTGCTTCAAATATAGGCAATTTTAAAATTTGAGACAATTACATTTTCTCAGAAAATTCTCAAAATATTTTCTTTAAATTTTTTACGTATGCAGCAGTGGTGCTGATCCTTTTTTCGGCTCACTCACATTTTCGAAAATGGGGAAAAATGTAAAATGGGTAAGTTCGAATATCCGGCACTTCATGTTTTTATTTAAGCTTCGTAGAGCTTCCAAACTTCGTAATTATATCTTTTCTGGCAAGCTCACTTTAAAAACGCCAATTTTTCCCGTCCATGTTTGCGTGTTTAGTTATTTTTTTAGAAATTGATCCATAATGCATGTTTGGAATTTTTTTCAATAAACAGTTTAAACTCTGTATGACATATTATGATGAGAAGGGTATTATATACACGTTTTCTTCAGTTCTAGGATCCTACCTTAACAAGTTGAATTCTGAATACAAATGGAAATATGCGTTTTTGAGCAGAATTGATAAGAGCGTGTTCTGCAAGCATATGTGCCATACGAATCGCCCACTGTTGTTTTATCATCGCTACGCTGGCAACCGCGTTGCGCTGGCTGTAATCAAAGCAAACTTGCGTGAAATTATTCTTACTTTTCTGTATAATGTGCTGTAAATACTCAGTTTAATTTAGTTCCTTTTCTTTCATTTGTCAAAGCAACAAATTATCGCTGCCCCTTTCTATCGAAATGAATGTAGATATGCATCACAGATATTTGTTTGAATATGTTGAATTGGACGTTTTCGATTAATAGCAGATGTGTTAGTAGTGCATAAATTGCAATATTTCAATGTTACATAAATGTTTCCCATAATGCGAAAACGTATGTGCTTTTGTAGCACCCAACTATCTAGAACATACTATATAGAGTAGCTGACCCTATGGTTTCAGCGTTCTGGGTCGACGCTCCCCACCGCCATGTTTGTTTGCAGTAAAAACATGAGAGATGCTAGATGGTGGCTTGTTGTTTGTATCAGATCTTATTTCTATATTGTTGTCTTTTCGTTTACCTGTATTTAAATTATATTAGTGTGTATAATAATATTCACAACTTCTTTAATATGTTTGGCATATACCTTTAAAAATTGAAGTCATCAAACCACAAATAGTATATCATTTTTCGAGTAAGCTGCCTTTACTGTTTACTATGCTTCTTATTATTTATTTAATAGATAATTATTACCGACAAATTAGCTTACTTGATCCTATGTGGCTAGGCCGAAGGCCTTTAAGCCATTACAATACCTACATCCTTTCGCGTTCATAAATCTTCGAACTTCTTTATTCAACCCCAAATGGTTCTCCATCGATTTCAAAGCCGCGAAAAGAGACCAATAAGGTTACGGCTCAGCAAAACACGCTGAGGGGGGAAAACCTGCCGTCAGAAGCACAGTCTTCTAGATCTCTCCGACGTTTATTTTAGTTATTTTATTTCTGGCGCGGCGTCCGCGTCTCCTTCATGCTGGCTCTCAACAACTGAAATCAACGGCCACAGAAGATCGTCCCACCAACTGACCTCTGCCTTATATATTTCGATCCCCCTTACTTCCCCCCCCCTAATGACTTATTACATATGCAGTTTATTTTTATTCTATAATAACCTTTAACTTCAATAACTATGACTTATGCTTTCTTACTGTTTTACTACTTAACATCAAAATTTACTGACTTAACTACATATTGTTAGGCTTATGACTTATTTATTTCTCTCCAGTCTAGGCTCCGCTTCAGCTACTCGTGCTGTTTTTCCACTCCCTAATTTCAGTTTCTCCTTAATGGTCCGAACCTTTCCTAAAAATGTCCTAATTCTTTCATGAATTTAGACATTTTATCACCTAAGAGTTCTTGGGCGAGCGTTCTCCTGTTTAGAAAGTGATAATTCTCATTCCCATCCATCTTTTTCTCGTCATTCGTTGCACAGCAAATTAACTAGTGTGTGATCCAGTCTTCCCTATCACCGCAAAGCCAACAGATCCTTAGCCACTTTGCGTCCTTAAGTCGACGCTGCATCCATCCCCAGACCCTACTCCTGCAACCCTGACCCGCCCAAACTCTGCTTCTTATTGCCTTCATTCACTTTCAGGCGTTATGCTAACTGCATAACATTTTCAACTCACTTAAATTCCTTATAAGTAAGCCGATGCAGGTGGCAAACGTGTTTTAAAGTTGCCTCCAATCCTTTTAATTTTTAGTTTCTTTGTCGTGTACACACGAGTAAGAGGATTATATTCCGCGCGACCGCACCCCACTGGCTGATGCAGCGCAAACGTAAATACAGAATACTCACCGTTCTCCGGATGTGCCTGCTGACTGTGAAAAGCTATGGCTCACTGCTGCAAAAAAATGGAGTGCTTCAGACTAGACTCTAAATAATAATCTGTAGTCCGTTGGTAGCACGCTAGCTTTTCACATTAAGATGGTCGCTTAAAATAATGGCGCAGTGTCTTAATTTTCAATTGACCCCCCCCCCCCCCCCCCCCCCCCCCCCCCTCTCTGAATATTATCGAAAAGTATATTTTATAAGTAATTCTCCTACAGCAAGCGGAGAGTTCAACAAAGACGTGCATATAGGTAAGCCAGCATTATAGTCCGAAAGCAAATCAGGATATATCGCCAGCATTTGCCTCAAGCTCAAACATTAAGACCGCTCTTCAAAAAAAGGACAAAATAAAAATTCATAATTATGACAATTCTCTTGTGTCTTCTTTTTTTTCTTTTTTTTCAAAACTATTAGAGCAGACCTTTTTTACGTACGAATGGAAAAATTCTTAGTAACACGGCGCGTTTTCAGATTGCACATGGGTTTCGAAATAAAATCTAGGAAACAGCCGTTTTTCTTTTCTTAAAGATGTCGCGTCTCCATGGATCAAAACAAAGCACCTATTGGAATATTTTAAATCTTTCAAAAGCCTTTGATCATTAATCATAGACATTTACTCTCAAAATTATCTTCGTATGGAATTCGTGGGTTTTGCTCTAGATTTATGTTCGTACCTTACTTGGATAATCGGAACATTATGTTCACACCTTTCTGATTCCTTTCAAATTGCAGCTGGAGTACCGCAGATCGATTTAGGTCCATAATTCTCTTCCTGCGTAACAATGTGCCCTCGAGATAGAGAGAGAACATGTCTCATGCGGATGACACGAATATTCTTTGCAATAAAGAAACCGAAAGTACAATTCAGCAGACTATCCTCAATTACATCGATTCCACCTCACCAATCCAACCCCAACTCATGTAAATGAAATTAAAATTGTTTTCAATGCAGTTTCCATTCAATAAAACAGCTCTGCATCGATGAAATGACGGTGTTCACTTCACTGATTAAAAGGTAAATAATTTAGGTGCTTCAATTCATAATGCGATCTAATGGAACCTCCATTTATCATGAAATGAACACTAAGTTAGTTTTCATGCTACGCTTTCAGAATTCTTTCAAATTCAGTCAGCCTACACACTTGCTCGTTCGTGTATATTTCGCGAATGTTCATTCCGCCTGACGATATGCAAGAATTTTTGGAAATACATCTATAGTTCCAGACTTTAGATTTTAAAAAAAAATGTACGAATAATA